AGAGATGGTTCAATGTGCTGGGACACTGGTGCTGTTCACTGCCTGCTCCTGCTGGACCCACAGATGCCTCCAGAGTTTTCAAACGCAGCAGAGGCCAGTTCTTCATCAAATACTTCACATCATCCACTTCTTTAGCTAACATTTGTCCCTTGGGTGTATCGGTGTTAGTCTATTTAAATGACCATGAGTGTGAATGATGGGCAGAGTTTGACTCTGCCAGGTGTTTAACCCTTCATGGACCAAGTGGACTTCATATCAATTGTATATACTAAACATTTTCTTACTTGGAAAATGTTAACAGTTAAGAGTTATTAAAATAGAATAAAAGGCAAACATTTCTTATTGTCAAGGGTAAAATTTCTATTTTTAACCTTTTCATGTTTCTTGTTTCAGATTCCTTACAATCTTACAAAAGAGCTATGCTATAAAAGAGGCTCACTATGATATTATGTGTTTATATTATACACTGTAGTTGATCAGGAGAATAAAGTAGAGCACACTCTCATGCAAGTCTATGAGCAACACCATCTAGCACAAGGCCAAGGCCCTCTAAGCTCCTGAAAATTTTACTGGATCCTACTTTGAAAAGTACATTCTATCCTTGATAATGTCTTTGATTGTCAATATAGAAGTACTTTTTAAAAGAAAGATCTTGGCCTATTGCTTGCTCATGTTAAAAGAGTAAACTATTGAAGTACTTCTGTGTATCCTAAAGGTAAGCGAGAGAATAATGTAGATGCCATAAGTTTAGGTAACTTCTGAACACTTACAAATGACCTGACATCATGAAGTATAATGGGTTATTTTTGTTAAGCTTTTACCATTTCTCATTCAGTGGAGCATGAGGCTGCAAAGGCCCCAAAGTTCTCAAGCCTGTACATGCATTTCCCTGAGGATGAATGATTTCTCCAACAGACCAACAGCATGCACACCAAGAGTCTAGGGAAATTACAAGCCACCAATTATGTTGTCTCTTCCTTCAGATTTTTTCTGACATATTTTTTGATATGTGAATGATTTACACTGTGGCCATATTCATAGGTGTATATTTATCTTCAAATTTATTAGGTTCTATAGTTTAAATACATAAATCTGTACATCAATTATATTTTAACAGTGTTTTCAAAATTACATATTCACTTTAATAGATTTTGAAGATGATTTTCAAAGGCATCTTTTTTGTTTCTTTCTTTCTTATTATTATTTATTACAAGTTATTCACTTTGTATCCCTCCCTCATCCCCTGGGACCCAATCCCACCCTCCCTCCGTCATCTCCTCCCATGTCCCTCCCCAAGTCCACTGATAGGGGAGGTCCTCCTCCCCTTCCCTCTGATCCTAGCCTATCAGGTCTCATCAGGACTGGCTGCATTGTCCTCTTCTGTGGCCTGGCAAGGCTGCTCCCCCCTTAAGAGGAGGTGGTCAAAGAGCCTGCCACTGAGTTCATGTCAGAGACAGTTCCTATTCCCATTAGTAGGGAACCCATTTGGAGACTGAGCTGCCATGGGCTACATCTAGGTTATCTCCATGCATGGTCATTGGTTGAAGTAGCAATCTCAGAAAAGACTCTGTGCCCAGATTTTATATTTTCTTTTGTTATATTTTAATATTATCTCTTAGAAGTCTGTTCTTTTATAATGAGAGACAGAAAGAGTGTGAATCTGGATAGGAGCGAAGGCAAGGAAGAACTTGGAGGAGTAGAGGAAGGAAAAACTTTAATCAGGATAAATTATGTGATAAAATAACTTATTTTCATAAAAAGAAAAAAAAGTGTGGTTGGTTCCTCCCATAACATTCATTCCACTCTGTCATCACCATATTTGCAGGCATGTTACTGTTGTAGGTCACAGGGTTTGTAGCTGGGTGATACCGATGGTTACCTTTCTCCTCTGATGGTGTGAAAACTACCTTCTAGTACAATAAGGCTACTCATTATGGAAACTTCTAGATAAGCATAAGCTCAGCATTTCCATCTTCAATGACTTAAAACTACTGTTGTCTTCAGCAATAGAGCCTTACTTAGCTGCAGCACTTGGGAGAGCAGGTCCTGTACCCTGCCTGGGCAGCACAGTAGAACTGGCCCTGGTATAGGAAAATGGGTGTGCTGGTCCCGAGGGCATGGGCATGGAGCTGGCCCTACCACTTATCTGCGATGAGGTGGAGTGGGCCCAAGAGTGATGCTCTCCCCAACCTTGCCCCTCTCCACCTGGGGTAGTCAGAAGAGCTAGCCCTGAGGTCCCCAGAGTGGGAGAGCTATCCCTGCCCCTCACTGGCTATCGCTGGCCCACCCCCTTACAGGTCCAGAACCTTGACTGGGAAGCACTGTAGAGTTGGCTCTGAAGGCATGGATGTGGGTGAGCTAGCTCAGAGGGTATGAGAGCAGGACAGTGGGCTCTAACCCCTGCCGATGAGGGTATTAGGTGACCTAGCTGAAGCAGTGCTGGAGAGCTTACCCTGATGGTGCAGGTAAGACAGCCAGCAGGCTGGCCAGCTCAGCTACCAGCCAGGCCCAGGTCCAGGGCTCTGAGTTGGCCCACCCAAAAATCTACACCATCTGTGAACTGTTGGGGTATGTGAAACGGCTGGTCCTGGTGACTCAAAGCTGCAAGGTCTCTATAACACAGGGAAAGAACGCAGCAGGGAAGAGTTCGGGTGACGAGCCATATTGATGGTGTGACAGAAGCCAGAGACCTTGAGCCAGTCTAATGACTCACTGTAATGGACATTTGCAAGTGAAGATGTGTGGACAGAGAGGTATACTGTGGGGCACACGATGAGACACTACAGCTTCCACAACAAGATGTTTTCTAGTTTTGTTTTATTTTGTGTGTGTGTGTGTTTATTTTCTTCTGTGGGGGAGGGTGAAGAGTGGATATGAGGGGATGGCAGAAAGATGAGTGGGACTGGAGTTCATGATGTGAAACTCACAAAGAATCAATAAAAATAATAAAAATAAGTCCTTACCATCAGATTACAGAGAGCAGCCAATAGCTTTAGCAATATCCTATAATGTTTGGGGGTTTCCATGGGACTCCTTTGGTCAATGATGCAACAAGGTATAACCTATTCCTACACTGGAAGATTTACTTGGTGACACAAGATGTCTGGTTGGCACACCGCCTCCTATTATTTGGTGACTCCATTTAAATTCCTTTTATATACATATAATTTAATATATTAATTTATTAAACTTATGTCTATATATTAATTTATTACACATAAATATCCATTCAATATAAACATAGACACATATTTCGGAAATCATCTAGAGCGGTAGGTACCCACAGTTTTCAAATGGCCTTTAGTAACAGTCCATCCCCTTATTCCCACCTTTACCTTCTCTCCCATCCCCTTTCCTATTTAATCCTCCAGTTCCAGTTTCCCGTTGAATTTCTCCATAATTCTGCATTCTAGTTCCTGTTCTTTAAGAGAGTCTCTTCTCAGGTCCCTTACTTGGCATCTAACCTCTGTAGTTATTTGGATTGTAGCACATATATTGAATGAAGGCTTAAAATCTAATGCTCAGACATAAGAGAAAATGTACAATATTAGCATTTTGGCATCTATGTTATTTCATGTAGGACAAAAATGGATGGCGCTACATCCATTTTCCTCTAATCTCATAATTTTATTTTTCTTAACACTGAATACTATCCTGTTGTATAAATGTACCACATTTGAACTATCTACTCATCAGATGAAGAATATATAGTCTGTTTTCAATTTCTGGCTATTATGAACACAGCAGCAATAAACATGGATGGGCAAGTATCTCTCTGTTGTAGGATGGGGTCCACTGGGCACATACCAGAAAGTGGTACAGCTAGATACTGAGGTACATCAATTCCAGCTTCCCGAGGAGCTGCCAGACTGAAATTTCCATAGTGGTTGGACCAGTTTGCATTCCCACCAAAACTATGAGTGTTCTTTCTTCCTTGCGTCCTCGCCAGCATGAGCTGTCACTTCTTTTATTGATTTTGGCCATGCTGACCAGGGTAAAATGAAATATCAAAATTGTTTTAATTTGCATTTCCCTCATGGCTAAGGATGTTGAACATTTTTAAAAGTGTTTTTCAGCCATTTGTACTTCATCTTTGGTGAACTATCTGCTTAGTTCTGTACCTCACTTTTAATTGGGTAATTTGTATTTTTGATATTCAGGGTTTTTAGTTCTTCATATATTTTAGATACCATCTCTCTATCAAATGTATAATTGGCAAAGATCTTTTCCCATTCTGTAGGCTGCTTCTTTGCTCAAATGATGGAGATCTTTACCGTATAGAAACTTTCAACTTCCTGAGGTCCCATTCCTTAACTGTTGGTCTCAGTGCTGTGTTATTAGTGTTCTGGCCAACGTGTCATTTGTGCACCGAAGTTCAAGTCTATACTCCCCTTTCTCTTCTATCAGATTTAGGGTGTCTGGTCTTATGTTGTGGTCCCTGATCCATTTGGAGTTGAAATCGTGCAAGGTGACAAGTATGGATCTATTTTCTTTCTTCTATGTGCAGCCATCCAGTCTGATGAGCACCAATTGTTGAAGATGCTGTAGTTTCTTCAGCGTGTAATTTTTTTTTTACATATTTGTAAAAACAAAACAAAACAAAACAAAACAAACCCCCAGGTATCCACAGTATGTGAATTTATGTTTGAGTATTCAGTTTGATTCCATTAATCAACATAGCTGGTTTTAAGCCAGTTCCATGCTGGTTTTATTACTATAGTAAAGCTAAATATTAATGTGTTCTTATTCCATTAGATTAGATGGTAAAAGTCACAGCAACCTTCATAGTGTGTTTTCATTCTCATCTGCTGAGAAATTGTCTGAATAGTTGTGATCTTTATTTTTAACTTTCTTAATTAGACACACAAAAACACTGAATTCAATGTTTAAAATGTACATAATACTTTAAGTTTGTATGAATGGTGAAATAATAAGCATAATCATTATGTTTAAATTTCCAAAACATAACAAAAATGATGACTATATCAAATCCAACTTACCATACATGGAAAATCCATGAAAAGGGATTACACCTGGAAAGTAAACAGAGTACCAGTCACATACCTTGGCTTCATGCAGGAAGTTAAAGGATCAAAACTGCAAAGGGAGTGTTATACTTTCTGCTCCACTTTGTTTGAATGTCAGAAAGACAGTGATGGTAACTAATAACACTTGTTTTAACACTCTTAGAAAGGTAACTAGACATTTTCAAACTTGCATCTGAGACTGAGAGTAAGCAAGGAATTAGCCATGAGGTTCGGGAAAACTACAGCTGTGCCTCTGGAGGCCTTAGACAAAGAGTCAGAGAGGAGAGAGCTGACGAACTGTCCCTGTGTCCTGGGGTGTGTATCCAGCTATGGTGAGGACACAGTTATGGTGAGGACCCAGCTATGGTGAGGACCCAGCTATGGTGAGGACACAGCTATGGTGAGGACACAGCTATGGTGAGAACACAGTTCTAGTGAGAACACCTCTTCATGCAATGAACATCCTTGACTGCAGGTAAGCTGGTCCCAGCGTGTCAGAAATTCAGGCATCATCCCTTGCTGAGTGTGACTCGTATACCAGCAAGGGATCAAGTCATCACTATCCTCAAAAGCCCAGGTTTAAGGCTTCGTTGTAATAGCATCTATATTTTGGTCTGGACCTTTTCTTTTGTGGGCAAGTCAACAGAATCATGGGAAGAAATTCCCTGTAAAGGACATGGGGTTCACCATGATTTGCAAGGAGTTAAAAAAATAAAAGTTACCTTATGCCCATGAATGAATATTCCACACACCTCATAAGTACTTATACACATTTTTAAAATTGCTGGGACAACACCCAATGGTTTGTGCCGGCCCTTGGCCCTGCCCATCCCCATCTAACACCCAGTGGTCTGTGCCATCCCTTTGCCCTGCCCATCCCCATCTAACACATATACAAGTTTGGGTTAGCCTGCTCAGATAACTCTGGGTTGTGCTATCATTTTACTTTGCTTTGTAAATAAACTTCTGCTACACTGTTTATGTCTCTTAGCTCAATTCTTTCCTTTGAAAAGACCAGATTAAAGAGAAATCTTTTCCTGATGAGACACCAATTAATTTTCTATTGAGATGGTAGAGCAAATATACATGCTTACAAAGAAGAGGATCAAGCTGCAAAGGGTGGCCATGGAACTTCATTTCAGAACTACTGCAATGGCCCTAAAAGTCAGTTTATAATGTTGCTCCTTAAACAACTACATTCCACTTACTAAGATCCAGTCTGCTAAGGATCAGTGAGATTTTCAAGGTGTTTCTGTAAACATCACTTCACAGAAAATACTACAATCATTTCATTAATTTTATTAGTAATTATATTTTGGGATTGACTTAGGAGACACATTGAGAGGCTGTAGTATAAATTCATATGGTATAATAATTGGCAAAAAATTTATACAAAGTCCATATCATGTGCACAGAAAGACTAAAAGCATAACTTTAGTACACAAACATTTTGCTATATTCTGTGAAAAATGGGAATTGATATAGCCTTAATTCCAAACAGAATCTTACAGAACACTAAATCAGTTTATCAATGTATTTGCTCAACTATGTTCATAGCAGCTTAATTCATAATAGCCAGAATCTGGAAACAACCTAGATGTCCCTCAAATGAAGAACAGATAAAGAAATTGTGGTGTATTTATACAATGGAATACTACTCAGCTATTAAAAACAAGGAAATCACAAAATTTGCAGGCAAATGAACAAAATTAGAAAAGATCATCCTGAGTGAAGTAACCCAGAATCAGGAAGACATGCATGGTATAGTCTCACTTATAGGCAGATATTAGTCATGTAATATAGGATAACCATACTAAAATCCACAGGCCTAAAGAAGCTAAATAACAAAGAGGACCTTAGGAAGGATGTTTAATTCTCATTCAGAAGGCCAAACAAGATAGACATTGGAAGTAGGAGAAAAGCATGAACAGGACAGGAGCCTAGGTGGTTGAAGAGAGGGAACATGATGGAAGGCTACCATAAATGCCCTCTGAAAGACTCCACCCAACAGGGGATCAAAGTAGATGCTGAGACTCATAGCCAAACTTTGGGCAGAGCTCAAGGAATCTTATGGGGGATAGAAGTACCTGGAGGGGACAAGAGCTCCACAAGGGGACCAACAGAGCCAACAAATCTGGGCCCAGGGGGTCCTGCAGAGACTGATGAACCAACCAAGATGCATGGAGAGGGCCTAAACCCCCTGTTCAGATGTAGTCAATGGGCAGCTCAGGCTTCATGTAGGCTCCCAAGTAAGGGGAGTAGGGGTTTGTGGGCTCCCAAGTAAGAAAAGCAGGGGTTATCTCTGACATGTCCCCTTAGTGGAGTAGTCTTGCCAGGCCACAGGGGAGGAAGATCCAGGCAGTCCTGATGAGACCTGATAGGCTGGGGTGAGATGGTAGGACAGGAGGGCCTCACCTTTCTGTGATCTAGGGGAGGGAAAAAGGGAGGAGATGGGGGAATAGGACCAGGAGACAGGGGAGGGAGCTACAATCATGATAAAGAATGAATAAAGTATAAAAAATTTAAATTAAAAAGTAAAAAAAAATTCAAAAGGTTTTTATTTATTCATTTGTTTGTTTATTTAAAGTATAGAAGTGCTGTAGTCTTCTGACCTGTAAGGAGGCAAAACAATGCTGGCAGGCCATCTAGACTAAGTTCTAAGAAGTCACCCAGATCTCAATCTGAGGCATAAAGGACATGGGCCATTTCAAAAGCTTGTTTGTGGGGAACAATTTCTCATGCTGGGTCAAACTCCAGTGCCCAGTGACGTCTACTTCTTATTCCTAATGCTGACCATTAGGTCATATGGAAACGTCTGAAATGTCCAGCCCTGTCACCGCTTGGTGACAACTGAGGCTCTATGAAAGAGTGGTCTGGCACAGCCCCTCCATTTCACTCTTATCTGAAAGTCCATGACTGAGACCTCCAAGTATGTTCCTCTCACACAGCCACAGCTAAAACTGCATTTGGACAGTTGTTTTTGGATCTGAGTAGGGCTGTATTCTTATCTGCTACACTTCTTCTTTGGTGAACCAGTCCAGGAGGAGATAATTCTGGATTTGCACTGTTATCTAATGTGTTTGCTATTCTCCCTGATGCATACTATCTATGTTCTCATCCAAGGCAACATAAAAATGGTGAACAAGAAAGTGTGAGGACAATAACTCACTAGGAACCACCTCGTGCAGATTTCAGCTCATTAAACAGCGCCCTATTGAGTCAGTGAAAGCCATGACCACGTAACAGCGCACCTGCTTAGCCACTCTCGTTTGGTCACTTAGGGGTTTTTTGTGTCTTTTGTAAGTTTCTTAACTTCTGTAAACTTCATTCAGTTCCTTTATCCACAAATCAGAGAACATGATTAAATGACTGTGGCTCAGCCATTAATAGAGTTAAAATGCTTGGGTTTGTTGTAAATGTTTACTGTTGATATAAGCATTCACAAAATAATGTCATGTTTCTTTGTTTAAAAACAATTTAATAAAAAAATGTTATGATGGTAACCCAGTTATTATTGTGAGCTAGTAGGCCAGACCACCCAGAAGTTAGGCAGCGTGGCTCTGAGGAGTCATACACTCTAAGCATCAGGATCTCTTTCGTGGGTGTCTCACCTCACAGCATGTGACAGATTTATTATACACTGTCCTACTTTGGCATTTCTGGTGCTTATCAGGACTCTTGTGACCTCTATTTGTTTAGCTTCTCTATGCTTTGAAATGTTCTCTCTTAACAGCGGCAGTCCTGATTGCCTGGCACTAGCAGGCTGGCGTCACTGGAGTGAACTCTGCCTGTCTCGTCTATACTTCACCTCTCCTCACTTGCATGCTCAGCAGGAAGACATTTCCCTTTCTCCTCTCAGGTCACCAAATCCTGCTTCCTGTCAGCAAGCTAATTTCACTCCACAACTTGTTTATGTGGCTTGTGAGCTAAGAATGGCTTTTGTATTTTTAAAGGATTATTTACAAAACGAATAGTAATATGGAGTAGAAAAGACAGTGGCCAGAAAGAAATATTTACCACCTGGCTGGTTACAGAACAAGTTTGCCAATCTCTGCTTTGGAATCATGTCCATCAGTTATCCCTTCTCCTCTTCATGTTTATTACTCAACTAATATCTCCTGAACCTCTAGCATGTGGTAGATGCTGTTCGAAGGATGGCAACTGACTGTTTGTTATGGAAAAGAAACCATAGAATAAGTTTCTACATCCACACAGTAATAAATGGTATCAAGAAAATAGAATGAAGAGTGATGGGGTGGGGTAGTTTGGGCCAGATGGAGGCAGAGGAAGCTTCAGAGGCTGTGCAGGTGAGGCGCTTAGGAGGAAGGCCCAGAGGCTCTGGCAGCCCACTGACGGCTGAGGGGAAAGCTTACTGTACAGAGCTGGGCTAAGGTGGATGGCGGTGAGGTCTGCTCCTCACTTCTACTCACAGAGCACCAGCAGCAAGGGTGAGCTTCCAAGTGCTGTGTCTTTAATCTCTATGGAAACCTTTCAATCAAAGACTTCACACACAGACACACACACACACACACACACACCCCTCCCTTATACACCTCATCAGACACCATCATCAAAAGCACATTTTCTTCCCAGATCTTATTTTTCAATTAAATAAATGTAAAATCTCCTCCCTTTGAAGCCAAGCTTAATTTTTTACGAAAATAACAACAACAAAAAGCCATCTACATTCCTTCCATTACTTCCCCAGACACTCTTACATGATGTGGTCTATTTTCTGCCTATATGGCTCTAATTTCGGATAGCCAAATGTAGGGGTCTCTCTGCCTGCCGTGGTTATATTAGCTTCAGACAACTGAAGGCTCCCTCTCAGCCCTGACCTTACCATGGCAGTGATGAGCTGGACAGGTCAGGCTGCTTCCCCCAAACTTCTGCTTCTGTGTTTTTTCTGTGGTTCTTCTGCCGCTCCTAACCTCAGCTGCCTTCCAAGACTCTGTCATATTTACTTTCACTCTCTCTACCAGAATTCTCCTTATTAATCTTTACTT